TCTGCCAGCAGAGCTCAGACAGGGTTATTGCAAGGCACAGATCTGGGAAAGGCTACAAATTCTGCTGTAATGAAAGATCCCAAGAGCAGAGTGGCCTTCTCAAATGGGAGACGTTTGCCACATCTGAGAAGAGCTGGTCACCCAGCCAAACTGACCAATTAGAGAAGAGTCTTGGGTAAAAGGTGACTAAGAACCTGATGGTCAGTCTGACTGTCCCACCTCTGCACAGGATCTCTGGAGCTCAAAGTTTCAGGATAATCACTGCAGCCTTCCACCAATCTGGGACTTTATGGCAGAGTGGCTAGATGGAAGCCACTCCTGTGCAAAACACATGTGCTTGGAGTTTGCAAAAAGGCTTTAAACTATATCGGGCTGCAACATCACAATTTTGGAAAGTGAATAGGGGCTGAATACTTCTAATGCAGTGTTTGTGGTGTTTTTTTTGTTTTTTTTTTTTGTTCTCCCTTGTGGCTAGATCTCTTCCACTGTGCTATTGTGTTCTGACAGAGGGGACTCTTCCCAACCCTCGCCCCTTAAGAATACACTAATCAGTGCTTTGGCTGAAACGGCTGATTGAATGTTGGTTTGCCATGGACTGCTTTACCAGAAGCCAGCCTAACCATTTCTGTTGCACAGGGGGTATGAGCAGGAGGGAAGGGGGGTTGTTGGCCGGCCTGGATATGGCCAGTTCTTGCTGACCCAGATGTTGAGTCACTTATACCCAGCTTAAAATTTTTCCCTCACTTTTCCACTTTCTTTTCATTGGGGCAGGAAGTGAAGGGTAATCTCCCCTGGACAAAGCCAACAGATGTTCTAATAATTTCTTACTATATTCAAATAAAAATATCTAAACACTTTTACTGAAGTGTCACCTTCCAATGTGACACCGATCCAGGAGGCCAATAGTTCGCTGCAATACTTACAGAATTTGGGAGAAAACTCACTCTTGAGTCTCGAGGATGGGGAGAGGGGTAGAAAAGACTCGAAAGGGTTTTTAGCGGGGATAGAAGGGAACCAACTCCACCACCTTTCTGTCGTCTGGGTGAGAGTCCAGTGGAGAGAGCAGCAGGAGAGGCAGTCAGATTCTTGAAGCCAGGTTTCAATAATTGCAAGTAGGTTAAGGGAGTGGGAGACTATCGGGGACAGTAGTGAGCTTGTTAGTGGGCATTCCAGGGGGCACATGGGGGGGGGTTTGCAATCAGGGGTGATCAAGCATAAACTGAGGGGTTTGCTTCTGTTGCCAGAGGAAGGAGGGTGCTGGGTGTGGAAGTGAAATACTGGAGGACCAGGATTAGGTGATCTACCCAAGGAAAATATGGAAGCAGGCCGTATGAGTGCACACAACTCCCTGTCCTGGTGTTTTGGTCAGCATGTGAGTTCTGTATTTACAAGAGGTGAATGGACAGTAGTAGGGAGGGTAATCTGTATAAGCTTTGGGGTGGGGACATTTTTAGAACTGATACCAATGAGGATGAGTAGTGGGGGGCATATTAAAGGGTAGAGGGAGTAGGAATGAGCTTTGTGAGATGTTTGCGCATGATTTGACAGGTTACCTATGATGTGAATGTGGAGCTCATGTACAAGAGGGCACCTTGAAGTAAAGGTGTGGACCTCTGGAGATGTGGGTTATTCTGAAGGATGTTTTTGGAAAGCTGTGCATAGGGGGTTCAGTAAGGGTAGCAGTGGAGGTGTCTGACAAGGTATCGCATCTGGCAGTAAAGGCAGCCAGCCTCATACTCCAGATGGATGCCAACAGTCCTTAGTAAAGAGTCTACATTTGTAGTGTGCTGACATGAACCCTTGATTGACTCAGACTCCAAGGTTTGTCTTTATAACCTATTAAAGGGGATCTTTGCAATCTTTCCCCTCCATGCTTGGAGTAGCCACTCCTATCGGTCATTCCTCTGCTTCCACCCCATCCGCTGCCATGTGTCCTGGATGGTAAGCTTTGTATACTGAATACCTGGCAGCATTTAAACCTCTATGGATCATCTGGCCTTTTAAATTGTGTGCTGCTTTGAGAGATAGGTGATTGAAGACAGATGCTGTGAAAGTTATTGCTGTGACTGAGAGGAAAGGGGTGATGGCTGCCAAGAGCGCAAAGATGAAGAAAACTAGGTCAAGGGTATTGCCATCAGTCGAAGTGTCCATTGTGTTGGGTCAAAAGGTGAGATTACAATTGCCAAAAATGATGGTGGTTATTTCAGGAGAGAAAGTAGGGTAGCCAGGAATGAGTATTCAAAGCATGACACCGGTCCATGAGGTTACTGGATCTCTACAGTTCCTACAGAAACTGGAGAAAACTGACCAATAAGTCTCAAAAGGAAAGGCTAGGAAGGACTCGAAAGGTGCTCAGTGGGGATGGATGCAAACCACTTCCTTTCAGTCCACCAGGTCTAGTGGAGTGAGTCCAGTGGAAGCCTCCATTGGAGAGGGTAGCAAGAGAGCCTGAGTGAAGATGCTTTATATCAGGTTTCAGTAATTGCAAGTAGGTAAAGGGAGTGGGAGACAAACCTCATGGTCAGAGGTGAGCTTGTTGCAGACAAGGTGGCCATTCCAAGGGGCATGAGAAGGGTGCCTTTTTTGGGGGGGGGGGGGTGTTATGATTAACTTGCATGGATGGCTGCTATTGCCAATGGAAGGAGGGTGCCAGATGTGGCAGTGAGATACTGGAGGACTAGGATTAGGGGGATTCCTAGATATTGGGAGCAGGATGTATGAGTGCGTGTACCTCCCCGCCCTGGTGTTTGGGTCAGCATGTGGGTTAATTATTTGCAAGTGGGGATAGGGAGAGGGTGATATTTAAAAGCTTTGGGGTGGAGAAGATGGGTAAATGATTACGTGTGTGTGTGTGTGTGTGTGTGTGTGTGTGTGTGTGTGTGTGTGGCCAGTTACCTCTGTATGTGGGGCTTATGTAAAAAAAGGAGCACCCTGATGGGATGGAGGGATGTCAGATGGGATTGAGTCACTGATGTGTTAAAGAGGGGGTCACTGATTTGGTGGGGGTAATTCTGAGGGATTGTTTTGGAAAGTGGTGTTTTTTAGGGTTCAAAGGAGTTCTTGGCTAGCCTCATACTCCAGATGGATCTCAACAGTATTTGGTAAAGATTTGAAGTCTATATTTGTACCAGTGTCCCTGTGCTTGACTTGAATCCTTGAAGTTGTTTGACTTGGGCTCTGATTTGTCATTAAAACCTATTAATTATACTTCTTACAATCTTCCCCTCCATGCTTTCGAGTGGCCACCCTGATCAGCCATTCTTCTGCTTCACTCACATCCACCTCCCAATGTGTCCTGGATGTAAAGCTTTGTACACTGAACCTGGCTGCAGTTAAACCTCTGTGGACCATCCAACCTGTTCAGTCACATCGTTATCAGTATGGGTGGATCTCTTCTGGGTTTTTTTTTTTTTTCTATAAACTCATGAGCAGTATTTATATCCAGTAAAATGTCAGATTTCTTCATCAATGACAATTTGTCTTATCAGAACCCTCAGACTTCATTAAGTTGTAAAGTTCTCTAGTGTCTGAGATCATTCCTTCATTCTTACAGCCAGGATTTCTAATATTGGTTGTATCACCCCTCCAAGGATTGTCTTCCTTTTCCGCAGCACCCTATTGTCCACAATTACAGCGGTCATATTGGGGCGCTCCTGACTTGGTCAGAGCCGCATCGATTTCCAAAGTGGTGCATGCATTACTTTTGGTGCAATTTGCTTAGACTTCTGTCAGATGTCTTACAAATTGCCCCTGAAATCGGCATGTCCCCCTGACTTTGAAATCATGTGACTTACAGTGAAGTCGCACTATTTCAGTGTCAGGCTTGATGTGACCGGGTGTAAGGTGGCATTTTAAAGACAGTTATTGGATCTTTGCTGCACAGTTCTTTCCTCTGATTAATCTTCCTGGACACTGTCCTTTTTGCTTCAGGGACTGGGATATCTGCTTACTGTCTGCATATCTCTAGTAGGACACTCTTCTCTATAGAAATTATTGAACATCTGGATGTTGTAAATGGCTCGGTGGTGCTTCAGATAAAGGCAAAAAAATTTTCAAATTTCCTCCTGTAATTGTCCTGATTCTCCTGTCTCTCAGGATCCAATGTATTTGCAAATTCTCAGTTTCTTTCTCAGATCTTAAGCTCCATGGAGTCTATTTGTAGTGCTGTTCTTGCATTGAGCTTTGCTGTTCTTTGCCTCAGACCCCATGATTTGTCATTGTCAGATTAATTTGCAGCAGTCTTCCTCTCCCTTTTCAGTGGCCACCACCATCCCTATCAGCCATACCTTTGTGTCCCAGATGCAGAGCTTTGCATACTTAATACCTGGCAGTAGTTGAACCTCTGTGGATCATTTGGCCTGTTCACACTATCAGTATGAGTGGCCCTCATCTATTCCTTTTTGATATATAGGCTTGAGTGTTTATATTTAGTAAAATGTTTTGGATTTCTCAATCACTGAAAATTGTCATCAGATTTTTCAGACTGAGTAAAGTTGCAAAGTCCTCTGTACTATCCGAGACCGTGGATATATTGGTTGTATCCCTTATCCCAGGACTAATGTTGTCTCCATTAGGTGGCATTTTCAAGACCGTTAAAGTGGCTGTAAACTCTTATTTACACCCAGTGAAGTGACTGGTCTCAGGTGATAGGAGTGTGAAACATATCATTCTCCCTAAATTGTACCTGTTTATCTGCAATCGTCTCCTCTACATCTGATCAAAGTGCTGAGTTTATACAGCTTATAAGTTCAGAAAGGGAGCAGAGAGCTGAAATTACACACTGCAGAGCTCAGGGAGAAGAGCTGATTGGAGAGGACACGCTCCTCAGCCTGTGATTGAGAGCTTCAGCCAGGGGCGGACTGACCATTTGGAAAGTCAGGCACTGCCCAAGGGCCTGGGGTCAGTAGGGAGCCCCATGAGATGCCCCTGGGCTTTTTTTATTTTTTTTTATAGGCTTTTTTGAATTTTGGCAAGGACACAGGGGCCCCATGATCCCCTATTGCCCGAGGGCCCCATGAGTTGTCAGTCCGCCCCTGGCTTCAGCTATTTTCCTGTGTGCAGTGTGCTAGAGGTCTCTCCATGTCAATTTTTTTTTTTTTTTTTTTTTCCTTTTTAGGAAAACTTGTCAGTGATTTTGTGCCAAGAGGATCGAAGCAGCAGACAAAACACTTAGTGCTCTTCATTGAGACAAGTACACACTAGAGAGGGATGTGCTTGTTCATATCTCATGTCTGGGATCTTACAGGTCTTACAAATGGAGGTATTATCCTCTGTGCAGTAAATCTTTTTTTGGCTTCTCCTGGGGGTGGTGTACAGCTGTCATTCATTCACAGCATTGTGTCAATGAATAAGCTACAAATCTGCCACCACAGCAGACTTCTTGTGGTTCCCAATCAACTAGAAAGGCACTGAGCACATTTAATGGGTTTTTTTGTGTTTTTTTGTTTTATGCAGAATAGCTCAAGCTCTGTCAGATTGGATGGAGAGCGAATCTGCACAACTATTTTCAAGTCTTGCCACAGATTCTCAATTGGATTTCAGTCTGGACTTCGGACCATTCCAACACACAAATATATGCTTTGATATAAAACATTCTATTGTAGCTCTGGCTGGATGTTTCAGGTCATTGTCCTGCTGGAAAATGAACCTCCACTCTGGTCTCATTTTTGCAGACTCTTAACAGGCATTCTTCTAAAAGTGCCCTGTATTTGGCTCCATCCATCTTTTGATCCACTCTGGCCAGCTTCCCTGTCCCTGCTGAAGAAAAGCATTCCCACAACATGATGCTGCCACCACCATGTTTCACAGTGGGGATGGTTTGTTGAGGGTGATGTGCACTTTTTTTTGCCAAAAAATCTAAGTTACACTTTACGGTAACTCCTTTTTTCCAATAGTCATTCAGGACAGCACCTTGAGACCTCAGCTCCTCCCCCTGAGGAAACACACCTCCTGCCCAAAGAAAAATACTGACACTCCCCTCCGACCTTAGTTCTTGGAATAGCCCTCCGGTCACTTGGGGACATAAAATGAGACTCCCAAAAAATACCATAAGACATCTCTCATAATTGTTATACAACAGAGGGTGGGTAACCAGTGCTGTCCTGAGACTATTGGAAAAAGGCGTTACTGTAAGTGTAACTTTGCTTTTTTTTTTTTTTTTTTTTTTTTCCCCCTCTTGTCTTTTAAGGACAGTACCTTGAGAGGATAAGCAAGTACTCACCCTTAGGGCAGGCACTGCTGCTTGCAGCACCTTACATCCAGAGGCCTGCTCTTGCACCGAGACCATGTTGAGTCTGTAATGCCTAATGTCCCATACCTGGACCAAGTTCCGGCCCTACAGATCTATCCCGGAGAGGCCCCTGCCTGTTCTGCTTGTGTGGCTGCCATGGCCCGTGTAGAATGAGCCCTGATTTCCTCTGGGACCTCTAGACCCTTGGCCTGATATGCCTGCTCTATTGCTAGTCTCAACCATCTAGCCACTGTGCACCTGGAGGCTTTGTCCTTTCCTGGTCCCCTGCAAAAGAAATAAGAAAAAAAAAAAATGAATCTGTACTACGAAACTCCCTAGTCCTGTCTAGGTAAAGGAGTACACACCACCTTACATCCAATGAGTGAAATCTTTCTTCTGTCACCTGAGGGATTAGGGTAAAACAAAGGTAAAACTATATCCTGCCTCTAGGAAAATCTAAAGCTACCTTGGGAACAAAGGATGGATCTGTCCTGAATACCACCCTATCTGAAAAAATTTGCAAATACCGCTCTGAGACAGAGCTGTCAGCTCACTCACCCTTCTCGCTGTGGTGATTGCCACCAAAAATACAGTTTTCACCGTGGGAGCCCTAAGGGAGCAGAAACCTAGGGGCTCAAACGGTGGCTCCATTAACACTTTGAGTACTTTGGAAAGGGTCTACTTCCAACCGGTCTCTGTCTTGGCAGAGCCCTGAAGAACCTTATGACAAATGCCTCCTTTGCTAATTGGGATTCCAAAAATAAACTTGGTGCCGATACCTGGCTCTTGAGTGTGCTGATTGCTAGCCCTTTATCGGCCCCCGCCTGCAAGAACTCTATCACCGACACTAGGCTATGGGTATCTCCTGAGGCCCTGTAGCACCAGCTGTTAAAACACCTCCAGACCTTCCTATAGATGGCCTGGGTTTCCTTCTTCCTACTAGCTAAGAGTGTAGAGACCACCCTGGCTGAGAATCCCTTTGCTAGCAGTAACTGTTCCTTAGAAACCATGCCCTCAGTTTTCATCTCTCCACCCTGGGACATGGGACCGGTCCCTGCGACAAAGTCCTTCCAAAGAGGTAGCACCCAAGGTGGCCGAATAGCTAAGGTCCTCAAAGTTGAGAACCCTGCTTGATGGGGCCAGTATGGAGCTATCAGGATCAGAGAGGTTTTCTCCAATCTGAACTTCCTCAACACTGCTTTTTTTGATTGAAAAGATACTTTTATTACAGAAGCATCAAAAACAACATGATACGTGTAATCGGGGTACATCTCACCCTGTACTGCGACGCAGCGCACCACATAGCAATACAGTTCAAGCATACAATAAATACATTCAGAAATAAATACATTCGCTCAGCGGTATGATGCCTGACGTGATGTGCAGAGGATGAATCCCCAGACCGCCACGTCATGCATGACGCCGCTTACCCCAAAAACCATAGCATCCTGATACACAGTACTAAGTCATGCAATAAACGAAAGCGAAAAAACCGAAAAACCGAAAATCACAGTTTACAATAGGCATCGGGTGTGTGGGGGGGGGGGAAGGAAGGGGGAAGAAACACAGGCCCGAAGCTTTATTGAAAGACAAAGACACGCAAGGGGGAGTAGGGGGAAGGGGGAAATCTTCAGACGTCCTCTTCCTCCTTAAAGTCCATCAAGGAATAGTCTCTGAGCAGACTGAGGATCAGTCTGCGGCAGTCCTCAATGGACATCCTCTCCCGCTGGTGGATGAGGGCGCTTTCTGGCGCACCATAAAGCGTCCTTAAAACAGCACAGCACCCGCCAGGCGCCGTCAATGTCCTCCAGAGAAAAGGTTCCACAGAACAGTCCGTTCAACACCCCAAAGTGAGTGATGGCTGTCTGTGGCACAAAGTCCTTGAGTTCAGGTTCCAGGGCCCCCAACAGGGCCTGAGCAAATGAGCACTCCCAGAAAACGTGGTAAGACGTTTCCTCGTGGATGATGCAGAAGGGGCAGTGTCTGTATCTGCTCAGGTTCCTGGCATGCATAAATGTCCTAAGAGGCAGTCCCCCCTGGATAGCCATCCATGCCAGGTCTTTGTGCCTGTTGGTGAGGATGTTGGAAGAAACGTTCCTCCAGACCACCTTACAGGTGTCTGAAGGCAGGCCTGGAACCGACTCCAAAATGTCGCTGGCTCAGATGAGCTTGTAGATAGTCTTTGGCTTCCACAAGTCAGGCTTGACTCCCTGCAGCCCTTGCTCCCTGATGAACTTGAAGGTGTCCAAGTAGTACCAAGGAGTGTCCCAGTTGTAGGGGATGGAACTATCCCAAGTGTCCCACCCCAGGGACCTCCAGAGAGGCAACAGGAAGAAGCGAGACATTGCGTTCCCGCCAGAGTCCATAATCCGTCTTGGCAAAGTTCTGCGGATGCAGTTGCAAGCAAAGAACACCCTCAGTTGGGTGGCGATGTCGGGCACGCCCTTACCGCCCTTGAGGGGTTCCTTGAACATGACTGCCCGCTTCACTCTGTCCATCTTGGAGCCCCAGATGAAGTGAAACACCGCCCTGGTGATGGCCTTGCAGGTGTTGACCCGAGGGGGCCAGGCCTGGGCGAGGTACTGCAACACAGGTACTGCAACACAGGGAGAATCTCGCTGCGGAGTACCAGTGTCTTCCCTTCGATGGTGAGGTCTCTGAGGCTCCAGAGTCCAAACTTTTGGCGCATCTTGGCCAGTCTCTCCTCCCAAGACTTCAGGGCTGCGCCCTCGGCACCAAACAAAACTCCCAAAATCTTCATGAAGTCTGTCTTGATGCCAAAGGGCATGGATGCAGAAGAAGGCAGGAACCACTTTCCGAAGAGCATGACTTCCGACTTCCCGCAGTTGACCTTTGCCCCCAAAGCTTGGCCGAAGTCCTCGCAGGTCTGGACGAGCAGGTCGATGGAGCGCTGGTTGGCACAGAACACCGTCACGTCGTCCATGTAGAGCGAGCACTTCACTTCCCGTCTGTCTGGTACCGGTGCGGTGATTCCCCCGATCTCTGGATTCCGTCTGATGCATTCGGCGAAGAGCTCTATACAGCAAACAAAAAGCAGAGGTGAGAGAGGACAGCCTTGTCTGACCCCGGAGAGGACCGGGAAGGGGTCAGTCTTCCAGCCGTTCACCTGCACGGAACTACAAATGTCATTATACATGATGTCAACATATGAACAAAACATTTCCCCGACCAAACCTGCGCAGGGCTCTGCACATAAACCCATGGGAGACACGGTCAAAGGCCTTTTCCTGATCAAGACTGACCAGGGCCGCGTGCACACGGCGGTCCTTGATGTATTGGACCGTGTCCCGGACAAGCGCTAGGCTGTCCGCAATCCTGCGGCCAGGAATGCCACAAGTCTGATCCGGGTTGATGATCTGTCCGATGACAGCCTTCAGCCTGTTCGCCATGACTTTGGCAAGGAACTTGTAGTCCACGTTCAGGAGAGAGATGGGACGCCAATTTTTCAAATCACATCTCTCCCCCTTACGCTTGTACAGGATCGTGATCATCCCCTCCCTCAACGAAGGAGGCATCTTGCCCTCCACCACCATCTCCTCGTACAGCTCGAGCAGGTCCGGGCCCACGAGATCCCACAGCGCTACATAGAGCTCCGCTGGGAGACCGTCGCAGCCCGGGGTCCTGCCTTGCCTAAAGGATTTAGCGGCAGAGTGCAGTTCCTCCAACGTCAAGGTGGCCGACAAACCTGCAGGATCAATAGCGTTAGAGATACCTGACAAGAACCTGTCGGCCGCTTCCGAGTTTGTTTCTTTGGGGGAGTAGAGGTCGGAGTAGTAGTCGTTGACCACTTCCATCACGGCCTCCTTCCCCTT